ATCCATGTTGTGATTTGTGTGAACCCTGTTTGTTTCTTTCTATACTTTGCTTCATACAGCATGAGATCTCAATTATCTTCGACAACGAATGCATCAGCGTAATATACGTCTTCGATGAGATGTCTATCGATCTTCCCGTATCTTTGAAAAAAACCGATTGGGAACCACATAAAACTTCATGTGTCCTGTTTTTTTTTTTTTTTTGTTTCCTTAAGATAATTTATTCAATAACCAAAGTCGGTGGATAGAAAAATATTAAAAAACTCAAATTGTGGTTGGTTTAGTCGACTCAATTTGTACCATGATACGAATCGAGTTGAGCACTTGATCTATATACATCATTGCATGTTCTTCTGCATTCTCGTGATCTGCTCCAAAGAAAAGGTTGATGCATCGGACAAACTCGATCCTTGGATCTGATCATTCTAGTTATGGACTGATATGGTGCGGTAGACACGTTCGGTTCTTTATCTGCATTTTGTGGTCTCCTTATTTTGAGCTGGGATCATCAATTCATAAATGATAAATGATTTGTTATGCCTTCCAAAATTGGTTTGTAACTATTCATTCTTTTTAAATAAAGTTTCATATCGATAATTTTGAGGCGAATTTTAAAACTTTATAATTATTAAATTACATACTCTTGAATTCTTATTATTATATACTAATTAATTAATTTATAATTATTAATACATTTTTAATCGAAAATGAAACTCAAATCTTAGCATATTTAGATATTTTTGTTTGGCTTCAGTTTAAATTTAATTATTATTATATGTATGAAATATTATATTTATTTTAATGATTGATACTTTCATGTTTTTAAGTAGGAGGAGCAGAGTACTACTCCTATAAAATAAGATGGAGAATTAATAAAAGATCCATCGTGAATAGTGGCGATATCTCTTTACGCGCTATTTTAAGACCAAACCTTTCTTTCTCTCTTGTAGAGAGTGAAAGCAACACTCACGGTAGCAGCAGCAATGGCGGAGAAGTCGAGCTTCTTCGTTCATTTCAGCTTTCTTCTTCTTCTTCTCTTAACATGTGTCGAGGGAGTGAGGAATCCGGTGCGGCATCGTTCATCGGAAAGGAGGACATTAACGGACGGCCAAGATCTCTCGAGGTCACTCAAGCTGACGTTCGGAGGTCCTTCTCGGAACTGGACTGACGCCATTCCCATCGGTAATGGCCGTCTCGGAGCCACGATCTGGGGCGGCGTCTCCTCAGAGACTCTCAACATCAATGGTATATGCTAAAACGAGGTCGTTTTTGTTTGTTTATCCTTTCTCTCCCATTCTTGTGGTTGGTTCTTTTGTTTTTTTGGGGATTTAGTTAATAAATGCTCTCTGCTATTCTCTAAAAGGTAATGTCAGATATCATTCACATATTTATTGTTTCCCAACCAAAATTTTTTATTGGCTGTGCAATAGAACAGAGGATTATGCTTGAGACATATGTCTTATAGAGTTATATCGAATTGTTTGTGAAATAATGCGTAAATAAAGCACATTTTGTATCAAAAATACATTCTTGAGTTTTGTCTTGTATGAAAGTTTAGGAATTTTGTGGATCTGAAGCCTTAAATTTTTTGTCCTTGTGGATTTTGTTTTTGATAGAGGATACGATTTGGACTGGGGTACCAGCAGACTACACGAACCCGAATGCTCCAGAAGCATTAGCAGAAGTCAGGAGGCTTGTTGATGACAGAAACTATGCTGCAGCTACTTCAGAAGCTGTCAAATTATCAGGCCATGCTTCTGATGTATGTTTTTGATTCTTTTGGTGTAATGTTGCTTCTACTTCTTGTTTTTTTTGAGTTATCGTGTGTAAAGACTAATCCTTTTTGTTCTTGGCTCTCTAAAGGTTTACCAGCTAGTGGGAGATTTGAATTTAGAGTTCGACAGTTCGCATCGTAAGTACACTCAGGACTCCTATCGCCGTGAACTTGACTTGGAAACAGCAGTAGCTAAAGTAAGCTACTCGGTTGGGAATGTGGAATTCTCTAGGGAGTTTTTTGCTTCTAGTCCGGATCAAGTTATTGTAGTCAAGATCTATGCAAGCAAACCGGGATCTCTGTCTTTTAAGGCTTCTTTTGACAGTGAGTTGCACCATCATTCGGAGACTAATCCCAAGGCGAATCAGATTTTGATGCGGGGAAGCTGTCGCCCCAAGCGTCTTCCTGTGAACTTGAAGAAAAGTATCAACGCAACAAATATACCGTATGATGATCACAAAGGATTGCAGTTTGCATCGATTCTTGAAGTGAGAGTCAGCAATGGTGGCTCTGTGTCTTCCTTAGGTGGCAAGAAACTAAGTGTTGAAAAGGCGGACTGGGCGGTTCTGCTTCTGGCTGCTTCATCTAACTTTGACGGACCATTTACGATGCCCGTTGATTCTAAGAGAGACCCTGCCAAAGAATGCGTTAACAAAATCAGCTCAGTCCAGAAATACTCATACCCTGATCTTTATGCTCGTCATTTGGGTGATTATCAGAAACTTTTCAACCGGGTCTCTTTGCAACTTTCTGGCAGCTCAGCAAATAAAACCATGCATCAGGCAGCTTCAACTGCTGAAAGGGTGCAATCATTTAAAAACGATCAAGACCCTTCATTGGTGGAACTCCTATTCCAATATGGTCGATACCTGCTTATCTCTTCTTCAAGACCCGGAACTCAAGTGTCTAACTTGCAGGGCATATGGAACAGGGACATTCAGCCACCATGGGAGTGCGTTTTCGCTTTACTTCCTTTTTCGTGGAATTTCTTAGCTTTCTTATGTCACTGACTCTTCTTCTACTTCTGCTGTATTGCAGTGGTGCTCCTCACCTGAACATTAATCTCCAGATGAATTATTGGCATTCTCTTCCTAGTAATATCCAGGAATGCCAGGAACCGTTGTTCGATTATATGTCTGCTTTAGCAATAAATGGCCGCAAGACAGCACAAGTAAGTTCATATTTCTGTTGATGATCTTCACAATGCATTTGTGTTCCATCACTTAAGACATTAGTCTAAGAATCATTCTGATGCGTTGTAAAGGTGAACTACGGAGCAAGTGGTTGGGTGGCACATCAAGTATCAGACATATGGGCAAAAACTTCACCAGATAGAGGTGAGGCAGTGTGGGCCCTCTGGCCCATGGGTGGAGCGTGGCTCTGCACTCATGCATGGGAACATTATACATACACAATGGACAAGGTATGGTCCCCAAATTTCTGACTTCAAATCAGTTTCTTTACCTGGTACTATGTTTTCCAACCTTTACTTGTTGATTTGTTTCTAGGAATTTCTTAACAAGAAGGGATATCCACTGTTGGAAGGATGTACCTCGTTTCTTTTGGACTGGCTCATCAAAGGTAAAGACGGATATCTCCAGACGAATCCATCGACTTCCCCTGAACATATGTTTACTGCTCCAAATGGCAAACCTGCTAGTGTTAGCTACTCATCAACCATGGACATAGCCATTGTAAAAGAAGTCTTCTCTGATATTATTTCCGCTGCAGAGGTAACAAGACCGATGAAGCAACAAACACAATGAAAATAAACATATCACCTCATCAAAACTGAGCATCTCTCTTATGGTTTATCAACAGGTTTTGGGAAAATCGAATGATACTCTTATCGGAAAAGTCACTGCTGCTCAAGCAAATCTTCCACCCACAAAAATAGCTAAGGATGGTTCCATTATGGAATGGGTAGAAGACTTTGAAGACCCAGAGGTACATCATAGACATGTTTCACATCTCTTTGGCCTCTTCCCGGGTCACACAATCACACTGGAGAAGTCTCCAGAACTTGCTAAAGCCGTGGAAGCAACCCTTAAAAAAAGAGGTTCGTGTAGTTCTACCTTTTCTCCCATTGCTATTCTGCAATGTCATTGAAGTGGTTGGTGCAATATATAATTTTGAAATGATTGACGCAGGAGAGGAAGGACCAGGCTGGTCAACCACCTGGAAAGCCGCCTTATGGGCAAGGCTTCACAATAGCGAGCACGCGTATAGGATGGTTACGCATATTTTTGATCTTGTGGATCCAATGAACGAACGTAATTATGAAGGAGGAGTGTATAGTAACATGTTCACTGCACATCCGCCATTCCAGATCGATGCCAATTTTGGGTAAGTCAAGCAAGAATTCACAAACACTTACCTATAATGTTAACATTTGCATACCAACATGTTAAACCGTTACAGCAAGTAGTCAGTTCTTATAACAAAGTAAAATAATTCTAGAAACGACTTTTCTTTTGTGGGGGCAGATTCGCAGCAGCGGTAGCGGAAATGTTAGTGCAGAGCACGACAAAGGATCTGTATTTGCTCCCGGCGCTTCCAGCAAATAAATGGCCAAACGGTAATGTGAAAGGGCTAAGGGCAAGGGGTGGTGTGACGGTTAATATAAGTTGGATGGAAGGAAACCTTGTGGAGTTTGGACTTTGGTCGGAACAGGTTGTGTCCACCAGAATAGTGTACAAAGGAATCTCTGCGGACGCCAAATTGGTGCCAGGGAAAGTCTTTACGTTTGACAAAGATTTGAGATGCATTCGGACAGAGAAGTTATAGACTAACTCTTGATTCTCAATCTGTTTTTGTCACTTGTTTTGTTCATATGATAGAGGAAGAGCAATCTCCTCTATCACCAATCTATGTCATAGTTCCACGAGTTATATGTACCAGTGTGTGTGTTACCCAAATGTATCCAAAAGGTTTACACAGTGATAAAATGTATCTTGATGTCAAAGCAATCAAGTCATCTTTTAGCTTTGCTCGGCCTTTACCGTATTGACATGATTTATATAGAAGCAACCAAGTCATCCAGTTAAATTTATGGGTCGGTTAGATAAACCGAATATACACCAACCGAAACAGTATCAATTGGTTAATCTACACTAAAAACCAAACCAAAAGAAAAGAATATCGAGCCTAACCAAATCAAACCATCCTTTATATTTTGAACCGAACCAAGTCGAATAAACCGAACTAATATCTCTCTATCGTTTAGGGCTTTCTTTAGTATACTGAAGTTTAGTTCCGTCTTCATCTTCTTCTTTGGTTTGATCTGATTACGCTGCTACAAAAATCGATCAAAGTAAGATAAAAAAATGGCTTGGCGCAGTGCTGCTCGCTCTTTCGTCTCCGCAACCGCTAGAGCTCCGTCTCTCCGATCTCCTCCGGCGACGCTTCCTCGCCTCCGTCCTTCCTCTTTACCTCGCCGCCGATTTGCGTCTTTCACTAATCCCAGGTTTCACCATCACTTGCCTCCATTTCTCGAAATTTTGATTTAATCATGCATGAACTAAGGTTTGAACTATTTTGGTATTCATACTTGAGGAGAATTAGGAATGTTTGAGTTATCATAATGAGATATGAGTGAGTATTGACTATGAAAAAACACTTATGTAAAATCATATGTTGATCTTCTTGCTTGTGCAGGAATTTGGGAGAGCTAGGATGCACAGAGTCTTTCTTGCCTCTGTACAATGTTGTGTCTGCAGCTCGACTCACATCTCACCTAAATGTCAATCTGCGAGCTTTCTGCGAGCTCTCTAACGGTACCTTCCCACGCACTTGTCAAGATCGCTAATTACTCTTCATTTGTGAGTGTTACTGCTACTTAGGAATTTCCATTGGAATGAGCATCTTAAAAAGTTTTTGAATTTCTGGTTTAATGTTGCGACCTGGAACAATTGTTTTGTGTTGAAACAAAATAAAATGGGTTTTGGTCTTTCTTTTTGGTTCTCTGTAAAACAAACTTTGGTGTTAAGAACATATATTGGGCTTGGGATTGATAGGGAATGGAAAAGATGGGTGATGGAAGTGGATTTTCAGTCGCTGTCAAGAGAGGTGCTACTGCTTTGTAGGTTTCTTGTCCATTTTGTTTTTCGTGTTTTTATCACCTGCCACTAAGTTTTGTTTTTTTTTACCTATAGAGAGTTTATAGGAATCCAAATTTAGGACCCTATATTGTTTTCGTGTGGGTTATCAAACAATAGGAGTAAAGCTTCAAACCTAGGTATAACAAACATCTTGTTCATGTTGATCCACTTATTTAAATCTTCTTTAGTATTTTGATAGAAAGCTTATCACCATTGATATGATGCATTGAGAAATGACACTCTAGGCTTCACATAAAAGATTCTGCCTTTTAGATCCGTATAGAATTTTAGTCTAACATAGTAAACGTGTGCACTTGTATTATCATGAGCAATCTCGGGGTACCTTCCAAAAAAGAGAGGACGTCATTTGTTCATGATATACAATCATCCATTGTACAATTATGGATTTGTATTAGCATATTGATGTTTTTAAAGCCTGTTTTGGTCTGAAATTCTGATTCTGATTCTCAAAGCTTTGCCTGTGACTTGATGGTGGCAGGTACTTGAATGCGCAAAGTGGATGCATCAGTAATCTTGAAGCAGTTGGAGACTTGAAAAAAGGGGTGTACCAAGAAGAACTCATTGGTTGTTTTGTGTTCCATTAGAAACCAAAAACTAGTTACATTATTTTACCTTCCTTCACATTTGACAATTTCCAGTTTTAGAATATCTGGATTTCTCTTCATTTTTCTTGTTTAAGCCCAATGGCTTTGAATACTTGAGGGTAGATTCGACTTATCTTTCGGCATATTCTTCAAGAACCATTGTTTCATCTTGTAATTTTTGTTGTTACCAAACTCTCTTCGGGTGCTATTTACAGAAAAGGAATTAAACGAGAACTTCTTATAGTGAAAAGAGTTGAAGAGTTACTGTCTCTTGAGTAGTGTGATAATTGGCCAAATGTCCTTAGGAATTTTATATAATAAATTTGACCTTAGGTATTCAAGACATTGCGTTAATGTGAAACATTAATCATAGACTTTTCACTATGGTGGGAAGTAAGTAGGGGACAATAAGTGTAAGAACAACTAACGTGAAAATGTTTCGGTGTTCACATGAAAGCTCCTCACCACAATGAGTCAGTGAAGTAAGTCCTTACATTAACAAACTAAATCGTAAGTATTTTGACTGAATAAAAAGCTCATCAATTCGTTATTGTGGATTTAACTTGAAACTTTACAATCAGGTTACACTTCACGAGGGATCTTCAGTTTCTGTGTCGTCTGCTTAATCACTGGAAGCCTCTGACTGATGGAGCTTGGGTCGCTATAGACTGCTAAATCAACTGGATACCCTTTCTGCATATATATACATATCCACGAGTTAAACCACAGGACCTTCTATATCCACTAATCATAGAATGTTAGAAACCTTGCAATATGTTATCATCTTGTAACAGAAAGAGTGTGGTTATTTGATGATCTATAGGATGGTTAGGTCTATCAGTCAGCTGTACTAGCTTTGATGGGAAAGAGATGGATTTGAAAAACAAAGATCGGAATGGATACAATATCTAATAATCAGTTCTAAAAGTAAAAGTGAAGAAAACTGACCGCAGATAGAGACTGAAATGTTGCTTCTCTCCAACAGTTTTCACGAAGAACAGTTGGTGTCTCATCTTTGCCAAACACATAGTGCATTCTCGTCTCTCTCAATCTCATAAGCACACCATCAACTCTAAGCTACAAAAAGGCAACCGAGTAGAAAATGAAAATTGAAACGTTATAAAAGTTATCAAGATTACATATTGATGCGTAATGTGGATTTTTCCGAATTTGACTCACCCAAAATCGTAAGAGGAGGAACCATGAGCTTGGCATGACTCTCTGAAAAAGGAAACAGAAACGCACACACATGTTATCCTTTGTAACTAATCCTGAACTCAATTCAAATTCACGTAATTGTGAAAGAACATGACTAGAAAATCAGACTCAAATATAGAGATTTCTTTACCACTTTCACAGTCAGAAGTGACACTCCATTGTCAGCCAGCTCATCTTCATACAAAACTACCTGAAAGAGTAGAGAATAAGTACATAAAAGATCCGCAAATAATGTGTTTGGTGTTTGTATTGATCACGGGACCAACCTCATCATAGAAAAGAATAGGCTCTTTAAGTGAGAGAGCTGCCAAATCAAGCTGATCTTCACATTTCTTCCACTGAAGAGTAGCTTCCCCCTTCGAATTAGCTTTTTCTTCAACCTGCTTCACATTAAAACAGCACATATCAATGGGCATGAAAGTTCCTCTTGATTGATTATAGTGTGACAGACAGAAAAATACTGAAAATGAGAGAAAGGCGAACCGCTTCTTTGTCTTTCTCAATGACTTCACTTCCACAGTATGGCGTTGTAAACGTGTAATCATAATCTAGTATCACCTGCTGGGATGGCTTGCTGCAAGTAGATCAGAGTGGTATCAGATACAATTATGTACCAAGCAGAGTTTCCCAATTGCACGAATAGTATGTTTTAAAATATGTGAAGACAAATCAATCAAATCCTGACACTTTACCTCCTGAATTTCCATTGTGCTGCAGCAGGAACTTCAACAGGTGGAAGTCCTTCCTGCTTCCAACCCGCTAGTGCGTCAAATGCATTAAAATGAATCTTAGTGTTGCTACTTAAGTGTTTAAGGACTAATGCATTCTCGCCAAAAACCATTTCAGGTAAGTGAGATGTCTGAAGTTTTTCTTCCCACCTGTGTGGCAATCAAACATCACATTCTTAATTATGCGGGATGACAGAACAGGCTATTTTGACATTTGAGATAAACCGAGAACTGTACACTCAAACATTGGAAATGTCACAAAACAAGTTGAATTGATCACACAGAACAAGTTGAATAGATCATACACTCAGCAGAAACATAGAAAAAACTCAAAATCAAGGCCACATTTCTAATATTCTTCTGTAAGATTCCACTAAAAAGGTGAACATCAGCTCAAAAACCCAAACTACACTACTCAGTTCTCAATCAGACCAAATCAATTTACAACTCGCAAAAATACAAAACCTCAAAACACAAGAATCGCCGAAAAAGTAAACAATAACAGTGCATAGACACCAACAAATTCATATATGGTCGCATGTTACGGAGACGTAAGGTGAGAGAGATAGATATGAGTACTCTTCAACAGCGAGAGAAGTGAGAATCGTGCCACGGAGGGTTTCGATCTCCCAGCCATGGATGCGCAAACCTCGACGTCCATCGGGAAGAAGCTCAGCCCCTGAAGTCTTAAGAATCTCTTTATCAACCTCCGTCTCCATCTCAATCGCCGGCAAATATTGGCACTACCTTTTTTTCTCTTCCGCCGATGGAAACTGACTATCAAAGTCATTTGACTTTTGATGGGCTTTTTAAGTTAGTTACATGGGCCTAGTTTCATTTGAGTTTGGACCGCTCAGCCACTACTTAGTTGATGATGATGATACATTAATCATAATTTTTTGTTAAGGTCACACTAATCTTTTATACATTTCCGAATGTGTGCGTCATTCGCCTTATCCTAGCTGTGGTTTGCGACATTCGCCGTTTCCGAAAGAATTGTGGGGTTTGGTATGTGTCTCGTGATCGCCTGGTCGGAATAGAAATTTAGATTCATTTTCTTCGAGAGATATCTTGATTTCGCAGTAAGAAGTTCCGTTAACTGCAATATAAACGCGTGTTATCTTTTGTGACTAGATTTGTTCAATTTGGTGTGAGAATAAGTTTAGTTTGTTTTTTGCTCGAGCTATTGTCTATACTTTTGAGTTTGTTTCGTCTTTTGTGGTTTGTATTTCCAATTCTAGTTAGATTTTCTGTAATTTAGAGTTTTTACTTTCGTTTTATGATTTTGTAATTAGATTTCATGGATATATTTTGTTTCCGCATATTTATCTATTTCAAAAATATATGTTGTCTTTTAAAATTATAGTTAACATAGTTGGGAAAAAAAATGAGATTTGCCGAATGTGTGCGTCAGTGTGAATTTGATAGAATTGACCCTTTATCTTTTTTTTTTTTTTTTCTTAAAGTTGGATTTGTTTTGGTCAAAACCTAATTTATGTGCACTACTCATTTATTGTAGCTTTTTTTAAAGAAAAAAAAAAACACAAAACTGTAAAAGCTTCTAAGCCAGGTGGCGGGTTTTGGTGTAAAGTCTTTGATATGCTCCTCGGAACTGCTTCGTATCGAAAACTTACCTGATAACATCGGAGAAAGAAAGGAAAGTAGCCGGAGTTTAAGTCTTAAGATTTCGAATTGAGAATGGCTACGCTCACTGAAATAGCAACTCTCGAGGAAAAGTGAGTTTTTTTTTTTTTTTTTTTTTTTTTAATGTGTATATCTTTCTATCTATCTACTCTTTTGAAATTAAGGCAGAAAAGTTAAGATGTGGTCGTAGGATTGGGTTTTGTCTGAAAGGCTGAAACTTTGTAACACCTTTTCTTGAAATTGATGAGCTTTGGAGTAAATCTAGCTTGTGTTTGGTTCGATTCTGTGTATTTTTTTGATGGTGTTCTTCGTGAAAATTTGTCTGAATATCTACATCTTCCTTTGATTAAGTATTGGTTTTTGATTCTGTCCTTTAGCTTTTTCTTCTCTAAGGAGTCAAAGAAGGGAGGTTTTTGTCTACTCTTCTTCTGTTTTGTCCAGAAAAGAGTCTTTTTTCTTCTGTTTCAGGGTGCTTTCTGGGTGGATTAATATGTTTTTTGGGTAGTTAGTTTTGGATCAGGTCTCTAGATGGACGTTAAGTGTAACGTTCTTCAACATAAGTTACAATGTGCTAAGTAATTCCTATACTAGTATTCAAGTTACAGATTTGATTCATCTTTGGTCTTAGGTATATTGAATTATGCAAGCAGCATGGAATCCTACCCAGCACTGCCATTTTATCTGCTTTCTTTGAGGTTTGCTTACTTTTTCCTTGTCCACAACATCTGTTTGTAGCTTAATCTTAGTGTTAGCCTGAGTATAAGTTACAACTGAACCTGATCAACTGATAATTCAGGCGGAGGTTAAAAAGTCAAGGAATCAAAGATGCATCATGAACCTTTATGTGGATAGAGTGAAGTATGATGACTATCACCCGCTTCTCGAGTTAAGCAGTGAGATCAACACATCTGAGGTACAAGGAATTGATCTCTTTGTGAGATCCTCTTGTTCTTTAGAAGATCATTATGCATTGTCCTTAATCCGTTCTCTCAATCAAAAACTCCGAGTTGTTCATCTACATGACTCTTTCGGGAAAAACTTCTGGCGGTAAGCAATGTATTTTTTTTGTCTTCTTTTTGTTTTTGCATTTTTTTCTAGAAGCTTTCAGCTTTCATTTTGGTGATTGGTTTACTTTCAGGGATGTTTTCTTTAAAGGTTTGAGCTGCAAAGTTTTGAATGTGAGGTCTTTGCATTTCCATAAGCTTAACATCGTAGGAGATTTCTCACAGCTGCACACCCTTGTACTCGATAACAACCGTATTGTTGGTTTTGGGGAAGGCTGTTTTTCTTGCATGCCCAAGTTGACATATCTTTCGATGTGTGACACTCTAGTGTCAGATCTTTGGACATCAGCTGCTGCTCTCTTGAAACTCCCTTCTCTTAAGGAGCTCCGGTTTCAAATTTGGATCTCTTGCAGTGATTCTAGCTCGATTAAATCACAGTCATCGCCATCATCATCTACCAGGGACGATAAAAACACATTTATTGAATCAAACCCTCCCATTGAAGCAGATATTTGGGAGGTTGTTGAACAGATGGATCCTAGTTTACCTATTGAAGAGACTCTTCATAGCATGGATTTCTCGTATAAAATTCCAGAGCATGATGATTTGGGTTCACGTATCTCCTTGTCTTCAGAATTGTATGGAGAAGTGATCATGAGAGAAGAGGTAAAAATTTACAAGCTTTCTTGTTTGTAAGTCAGCCAAGAAGACAAAAGACCAGGATTGTTAATGCTTATTTTTACCATTTTGGCAGGTTAGGAAAGGGAAAATTCAGTACGTGCCCAAAGATGTTTCACCCGTTGGTTCGTTCACAAGGAAATTTGGGAATGTTGGGTTGAAATATATTTCCTCTAAAGCATCACCTATATGTTCTGAAAAGCATTACAGGATGTACATGATAAACTCTCTGCCCAAATTAAAAGTGTTGGACAATTTGGCTATCAGAAAGAGTGATAGAGACAGGGCCATTGAAACATATTCTGCAAACTTCGAGGACTTACCGTACAGAAGAAAGAAGGAAAGTGTAGTTAGAGTCCTTGAGAAGCGTGAAACAAGATCAAGCATAGGGAAATCTCAGAATTCTTATAAAAGATCGCTTTGCGCAGCTAAAATGGGCTCGTCTGCTTCGCCTCTCTTGCATTCACTTCCTTTTTTGGGTAGTGGGATTTATCAGGACGATGATAACAGTCAATTAAGTCCAAGGCAGTTTGAGTACCATCCACTGGATCCTAGCCTAATGGTATTTGGGACTTTGGATGGCGAGGTGGTTGTTCTCAATCATGAAAGCGGGAAAATTGTCCGTTACATCCCATCTCATGGATCTCAAAGTAGCATCTTGGGACTTTGCTGGCTTAAGCTTTATCCATCTATGGTAGGGTTACAACTTTTTGACGGCCTTTGTGTCTCTCAGCTATGTTAGTTCTCAAAAGTGTTTATTTCTTTCAGGTTATAGCTGGCTCAGCCAATGGCTCATTGAAGCTGTACGACATCCAAAAAGCGTCATCAGTGGTTACTACTAATAGTCACGTAACTTCTGGTTCTGTCACTTTTGATGACTTTGACCAATTAACTTCGGTTCATGCTAATTCGACGGACCAACTATTTCTTGCTAGCGGATACTCAAAGGATGTGGCTTTGTATGACATTGGTAGTGGAACACGCCTACAGGTTTTTGCTAATATGCATCAAGAGCATATTAACGTAGTGAAATTTTCTAACCATTCCCCGTTTCTTTTTGCGACTTCGTCTTTCGATAAAGATGTTAAGCTATGGGATTTGAGACTAGAGCCATCCCGACCATGCTACACTGCTTCTAGTACCAAAGGAAATGTGATGGTTTGCTTTTCTCCAGATGATCGGTATCTTCTAGCATCAGCCGTGGACAATGAGGTACTCTGATGGACCGTTTAGTTTGACTTACTTTATGAATCGTTTCGCCTTTTCGATATATTTGGTTTTCTTCTACTGATTTTTTAACGATCCATTGACCATTTTCCCAGGTGAGGCAGCTTTTGACAGTTGATGGAAGGCTTCATCTGAACTTTGAGATAGTCCCAAGAGTAAGCTCCATGAACTATACTCGATCATACTACATGAATGGTAATGACTACATCATCAGTGGAAGCTGCGATGAGAATGTGGTCCGTGTTTGTTGTGCTCAAACTGGAAGGCGCCTTAGGGATGTAACGCTAGAGGTATATTGTTTCTTCTAAACTGTATAACATGAAAACACAAATGCAGAGAAACAAGAGAACATATGGCCTTACTATGTGATTTGGTTTGGCTTGCAGGGAAATGGCTCCGACTTTTCCATGATGTTTGTTCAGTCGCTACGCGGTGACCCTTTCAGGGTGAGTTGACGCGTTTCTTAATTCGTAAATCAATGGAATCTCTTTTTTCACAAGAAAGTTTAATGGCCTTTTAAAGCTTGTGTGGTTTTTTTTTTTTAATCTCTTGCAGGATTTTAACATGAGTGTTTTGGCTGCATACACACGGTCGAGCTCAGTGTCTGAAATAGTCAAGGTACCATGATTACACTCGCTGCTTCTGTTGTTATCAAATAAAGTTTCCCAATTCTTAAGCAAAAAGCTGTTGATGACAAAATTAAATAAATAATGCAGGTGAATATGTTAGCGGGAAGAGATTCTACAGAAGAAGAAGCTCATGGTCTACGTTCCTTCCCTTCAAATAGCATGGGAGGCTGAAGATTAAACAGACAGAGGTTTCTTTATCATTTGGTTCCTTTACTACAGCTAAAACGGAACACAAGTGACTTTATTGTATCAAGTGTCTTCGGAAACTGTATGTCTGTATGATTCGGTAGAGGCATATTTGTTGTATACTGTACCTGTATTTTGTACTAGTAAAGAATACAATGAAATGAATATAAAAATGCTGTAAAAGAAAGAACAAACGAAAACGTTGTTTTCTTCGTTACTGGTAAAAAAATAGTGTTTAGGTCGAACCAGGAACGAACAGTGTGACTAAGTAAGTAGAGTAGTAGTATAAAACAAACAAAAAGGGGAAGAAACGGATAACACAAAACCTCTCTCGTCTTCCCAAATCATCCACACACAACAATGGCTCTCTCTTCTGGAATCTTGTCTACGACCTTTCTCAGCATCGATACGGCGCCGTTCCGCAGCTCTCTGTTGTCCCCCGCTTCGCTCCGTTTGTCCCCTCGTCATCCGGCTAACCTGCGCATGGTTCGAGCTGTCACCTCGGCGACGGCGGCGTCTTCCGAGCCGGCAACCACCAAGACCCGAGAGCCACGTGGCATTATGAAGCCTCGCCCGGTGTCCCCTGAGATGCAGGATATTGTCGGCGTTCCCGAAATCCCTCGCACTCAAGCTCTCAAACGCATTTGGGCTTACATCAAGGAACACGACCTTCAAGTATATCTATCTTTTTTCAACTCTAAATCTGGTTTTTGCTTTTGGAAAATTGTTCACTCTCTTTGTGGTTGTTTCTCTTTAGGGTCAGGTTTTTGAGGTTTTGGTGTGTTTGTTAGAGTTGGTAGACAAAACTAAAGTGGGTTGTTTGCATTGCTTATGAGTTCAGTCGGAGAGCCTGAATAAGGTTTCTTGTGCTGTGTTTGTTGAATCTTGTGTTGTTTCTTTACTGTTTGGTTTAGAGACATCTGAAACCGCTTCTTTGGATAAGGTTCTATGTTATTGTGTTTGTTCCTTCATGTTTGTTTACGATTAACTTGAAGGATTCAACTGATTGTGAGGTTGAATTTGTGTGTTTTGAACTTGTTTTTTGATATGACTGGTTCAATGCTTCAAATTGTTGTGATGATAAACTGTGGTTGACATGTTTTATTGAGGACTTTTAATGTTCTTTGGTACTTGACGGATGTGTTACTTTTGCATTTGGGAAAGTGTTCCTTGTTCTGTCTAGATTCTCAAGTGCTCCGTGAGCTAAAATTCCAAAAGTAGTCATCTTTTGAGACAAGAATCATGTTTATATCTTCTATGTATTTTTGTGAACTTTGTGGCTAAATGAATAGTGTTTCTTCTCCAGGACCCGCAAAACAAGAGGGATATACTCTGCGACGAGAAGCTGAAGAAGATATTTCAAGGCAAAGAACGTGTTGGGTTCTTGGAGATTGCAAAGCTCATTGGTCCTCACTTTCTCTGAATGAGAATTCGGCTTGGAGAAGACAACCATTAGCCTATGTTTTGCTGAGCTATTAAAAGACCATGAAAGATCAGATTGTTACATATTAGTATAATTAGGGTTTAAGAAGTTTCATGAAACCAAATAGTTATATGAAGCCTTTGGAGGATATCTTTTTGTCGGTCATGTGCTCATTTTGCTTCCCATTGCAGTTTAAAATATTCCCTCTCTTTTTTCTGTTGTAGGACATGAAAGCTATCTTAATGCATCGGTTCTTCATATTATCTACTCTGATTTCACATTTTCATGCTCAATTAGTCAATTCTCCATAATTTGCCGCGCGCAAATATGGAGGATGTTGTTGTGTGCCCTAGAGATATTGCCTCCATCGTCAGACAGCTAGATGCAAACACCATGCGATTGGTATTTCTTTTGTTATTGTCATTAACTTTTATGTCAAGAACATGCTGGACTTGGATTAGTTGGGTCCTTTCGCCTTCTTAACGGTTCTTCTTCCTCGTTCCAATCGTAAACACACGCATCCAAGTTAGACAAGATACAAAGAAATATATTTATGGGCAATCTTCAAAGCTCCACTCAAACATTCAAGAAGAACATCATTCATATTGGAGCATAAAGAGAGCCACCATGGACATTTAGTCTTGCGGTAGAGAACATTTACAAACCGTAGATAACAAAGACACTTGCCCTTTTTAAGGAGAATAATATTGGTGTGATGACTACGAATTTGGAGTTGTTTGATCATGATGAAACCTCATTAATCAATTATCGATAGTAAAAAAAGTGGAACACATTTGTACAAACATACATTCACAACAACAAAAGAACTTTAATACAGGAAAATTGATCAGGGATTGACAAGTACATAGTACAAATTTAAATGTGGTAACTTGTAAGTTGTAACTTTGCAAGCCTTTAAGGTTTTAGTGAATTTTTCATCATTATCTTAAAATCATGATGAAAACACAAATAATTTAATTTAAATCCTGATTACATATATCTTTATTTATATATTTACAAAAGAAAATAAAAGTAAAAGGAAATATGGAAAGAGCAAATACGATTTGTAAATAAAAAGGGAAAAAAAACCCCAAAACAATATGCATCTATTTCCTAGACAAATCATATCATTATTGATTTTGGATACGATATAACAATAAACAAACCCTACTTGTTTTTCCTATCCATATTGGGAACCGACTCTCTAACCCCATCATAGTCTCTAATCTCTATAAATACTGAACCTCCAAACACTAAAGAGCTCACAAAAGCTAAAAAAGAAAAACGAAACCAATCAATATAGACATATATCAAAGAAGAAGAAGACATGGGTCTCTCTCGGGCACGCAAGCTACTCGTAGTCCTCCTGGTTACTGCGTTTGTCTTCTCCGGGAGTGCTGAAGCCTGGAGCTGGAGTTGGGGTTCTGGCCAGTCCGGTTCCAACGGGGGTTGGGGTTGGAGCTCTGACGGCAACTCTGGCGGTTCTTCTGGCTCAAGTTCTGGTGGTTCAGACTCTAACTCGGGTGGTTCAAGCTGGGGTTGGGGATGGAGCTCTGACGGAACAGATACAGACTGGGGTTGGGGAAGCAGCTCTGGCTCACACCATTCCAGCGGGACTGGCACTACACGCAAAAGTCACAGCTCTGCCTCGAACCACTCAAGCATCGCTGGCTCTACACACAACAATCACAGTTCGGGCTCAAACCACTCAAGCATCGTTGGTTCTACACACAACAACCACAGCTCTGGCTCCAACCACTCGAGTATCGCTGGCTCTACATACAACAATCACACCTCTGGCTCAAACCACTCCAGCATCGTTGGCTCTGGCTCTACACACAACCACGCGGCTCCAATACGTGCTGGAAGAAAGATTGAGGTAACTGTATGGAAAAGTGGATACGGGTACACAGAATGGAGTTCAAAGCATGGCCCTATCTACGTCAACGATGTTCTTGTTTTCACGTACAACAACAATGATCGAACCCAATCCAAGACGAAGCACCATAACAAGAAGAACGACGTATACTTGCTCCCAGACATGAGGAGCTTCAAGAGATGCGATGTGACCAGAGCTAAGAAGCTGGCAGCACGAAGAGGTCCATCATCAAGAGGCTTCAAGTTGCTTCTCCGTAAGGTTCAGACTTACTACTTCGCCAGTGGAGACCACAACGACTGCAACCACAACATGAAGTTCTCTGTCCACCCAATTCCCCACCCTTCTTCTCACTAGCTCTAATTAAATCCAATTCACTTGTTATTTCCTTTCCTTTAAACCTGAGTTGTTACGTTTTCAGATTTTGGTGCTTTTTTTTTTCCCTATTTTGGTTGTTTCTTATTGTTTAAGGCAACGTACTATTCTTGTTCCAGGAATATATATTCCTTTATGCAATCTTTTCTTTTGTGTTTTAAATTGCGTTTAGAATGTCGAAACCCGAAACTTGTGATTCCAAAGTATCCCAAAATATTCCCTATCGAATATACAATGTAACGAAAACAATAACAACAAAACAGTAGTAGTAATAAATAAAAATTTATATAAACCGCCATGTCACACAGTTAATTATTATTTCGTACGAGGCACAACAACAACGCAAGAATCTTCCCTTCGTTATCGCATATCCAATTATTCCCAAATTACATAAAAAACGTGAGAACAAATATTATTAATTCCGAAAACGACGCAAAAAAAAAAGAAAGAAAGAAAAAAAGAGAATGATTCGTCTCGGTTTCAATCTTCTCCGATCTTGTAGCCGTCGTCTCTTCCACCGTCTTCCTCGACCTTTCTCCTCCTCTTCTCCGCCTACCGGTTCTTCAGGCCCTCCTTTGAATCTCAATAAATCTAAAGTCACACCGTCTCCGCCGCAACACCAATCACGACGTCTTCTCCCATCGATTTACACCATCTCTCCAACTTCTTCCTTCTCTAAGAAATCCGTTTTTGTTCTTTCCGCCGCCGCTTTATCCACCGCGATTGCGTATTCTGCTGTTTTCCCTTCTGATCATGACCAATCAAATCGTAACCCTACCGGAAACAGCCGTATCTACGACTCTATCGAAGACGCTCTTCAGAAATCCGGAAATTCATTGAGGAGAGTGGTTCACCATGCTCGACAAACCGGTGTTGCTGCGTCGGTTCTGTGGCAGTCGCTTAGGTCGGTACTCTCTTCGGCCAATCATGAGGTGCGTGCGGGATTTGAACTCCGGGTGGCTGCTCTTTTAGCCGATATAGCGTCCGCAAATGCTGCTCGTAGAGCTGCTCTCGTTGGAGCTGGCAGTGGTGCGGTGGTTGATTGGTTGCTTGAGACGGTCGCCATTCCCGGAGATAGAATTGGGGCCCAGGACGAAGCGGCTAGGGCCCTGGCTTACCTTATTGCTGATCCAACGGTCAGAAAAGACGCTCTAGGAAGGCCCGATGCAGTGCCTAAGTTGCTGAAGTTCATTTTCTCGTCTCAACCAAAAAACAAAAAGGTGCGTTTTGCTTCCACTAGTTGCTGATTCATTGTTCAGGAGGTGACAGAAAGATTATTCTGGTTAGATGTTATGGATTTTGACTAGCCAGCGGATATAAATCTAGGTAGCAATTTAGGATTTAGAGAGCATTTCTATGATCATCAAGTAGTTGTTGTAGAACAATGAGTTTTGTGTCTCTCTAGGGTGGTTTATCATGTGTCTAGTTGTAGATTTCTCAATCTCATTAACACATGAGAAGCGTTTTGAAACATATGAGTCTTGATACTTCGATGCTTCTGGTTGTGTTTTGCCATTGATATATAGCTTTTCTTTGGGAGCAGCACTCAAGACGTACTTCATTCGATATTTCTGATTCTTTGAAAGGTAGGAGCATGCTTGTGGCTGCCATAATGGATATAGTCACTTCCAACTGTGACACAATAGAAAAGACACCTTTTAAGTCATCATTGCCAGGAAATGCTACAATGAGAGATATTGCTGCGGCAATTCAAGTTATTGAGGAAGGTGGTATGTATTTTGATGAGCCAGAACAAGATGATGACAGTGACGATGGAAGAAGTGGGATTAAGGGGATTGGAATTAAAATCCTTGAAGGAACTACAGTTCTGGGACTATCAAGAACCAGTGGGCTTGCGCCGTTGGGTGACCTTAACGCTAATACGGGGGAGGGGACTCCCAAAACATTTGCATTGCTTAGTAAACATGATAATTCTTCACAAGCTAATTTGTCATCTGCCGTCATTCCTGGCCTTTGGGATGATTTACATTGTCAACATGTCGCAGTGCCGTTTGCTGCATGGGCATTGGCAAACTGGGCAATGGCTTCTGATACAAATAGATCTCATATTCAAGAACTTGATCGTGATGGGCAAGTTGTCATGACAGCCTTAATGGCACCGGAAAGGACTGTGAAGTGGCATGGGAGTTTGGTGGCTCGGTTGTTGTTAGAGGATCTTAGTCTTCCATTAAGCGATTCTGTTTCCGACTGGAGTTCCAGTTTGCTTGCCACTGTTTCACATGCCTGTAAAACTGAAGACATATCATTGGCTCAAGTTGCGTTATCTGCCTTTTTAGTTTCTGTTGACAGAAGTGACAAAGCACAAAAGATGGTAATGGAGAAGGGTCTTCATCTGATGAGAGATAGTGCTAGGAAAACAAGAAAGCACAAATCTGTGCAAGAAGGCTTGTCAAAGGCACTAGAATTACTCTGTGCTGGTGACATTCATTTATCTCTTGAAGAGAGTCAGAAATGGTCCGGCATACTACTTTCATGGGTTCTTGGAAAAGTTGCATCTGATACTGTCCAATCTTCAGGGAGAAGAATCCTTTCACGCACATTTGAGGACTACGGACCACACTCTGTCCCGATTTCTCAGGGATGGTTAACCCTTATAATGAATGAGATTTTGAACCACAGTAAAACGTTGTCAGCTAAAGGAGCTAGCCTACCTAAAAACGAGAAACCAAAGGTGCATAATTTTGTGGTCATTGATTTTATTATCTGAATTGAGCATTTTTTAGTTCTGTTACATCTTTCACTTTTAGATTTAATAAATAACAGCTATTTGCTTTCTCATATACAGGTAGATCAGTCAAAAGTTTTTTCTGCCACTCAGTCAACTAATCAGTTAGCAGGGGCTGTTGTCAATCTTGCCATGGCTCAACTTGGTACAGTCCCAGATTCTGTCAATAATGTTCCACTGGCAGATCTGCTCCTTTCAGAGCCTTTTGCGGCACCGATTAAGAACTTAAAGAAGGACAGCGTCCCCAAATTTAATGCTGCTGAGTCTG